TGGCCCCCATGGTGGTGTCTGGACATAATGGGTGGCCCCCATGGTGGTACCTGGACATAATGGGTGGCGCCCCATGGTGGTGTCTGGACATAATGGGTGGCGCCCCATGGTGGTGTCTGGACATAATGGGTGGCGCCCCATGGTGGTGCCTGGACATAATGGGAGGCCCCCATGGTGGTGCCTGGACATAATGGGTGGCGCCCCATGGTGGTGTCTGGACATAATGGGTGGCGCCCCATGGTGGTGTCTGGACATAATGGGTGGCGCCCCATGGTGGTGTCTGGACATAATGGGTGGCGCCCCATGGTGGTGTCTGGACATAATGGGTGGCGCCCCATGGTGGTGTCTGGACATAATGGGTGGCGCCCCATGGTGGTGCCTGGACATAATGGGTGGCGCCCCATGGTGGTGTCTGGACATAATGGGTGGCCCCCCATGGTGGTGTCTGGACATAATGGGAGGCCCCCATGGTGGTGTCTGGACATAATGGGTGGCCCCCATGGTGGTGTCTGGACATAATGGGTGGCCCCCATGGTGGTGTCTGGACATAATGGGTGGCCCCCATGGTGGTGTCTGGACATAATGGGTGGCCCCCATGGTGGTGTCTGGACATAATGGGTGGCGCCCCATGGTGGTGTCTGGACATAATGGGTGGCGCCCCATGGTGGTGTCTGGACATAATGGGTGGCGCCCCATGGTGGTGTCTGGACATAATGGGTGGCGCCCCATGGTGGTGTCTGGACATAATGGGTGGCGCCCCATGGTGGTGCCTGGACATAATGGGTGGCCCCCATGCTGGTGTCTGGACATAATGGGTGGCCCCATGGTGGTGTCTGGACATAATGGGTGGCGCCCCATGGTGGTGTCTGGACATAATGGGTGGCCCCCCATGGTGGTGTCTGGACATAATGGGTGGCGCCCCATGGTGGTGTCTGGACATAATGGGGGCCCCCATGGTGGTGTCTGGACATAATGGGAGGCCCCCATGGTGGTGTCTGGACATAATGGGTGGCCCCCATGGTGGTGTCTGGACATAATGGGGGCCCCCATGGTGGTGTCTGGACAGTATATGAACTGTCCCCTTCTTGTAGAGGTCGGTAATAAGGTTGCTTGTTGTGGGCCAGGGTGTGAGACCTCACCCTACACGACCAGTCTGTGTGTGGGACACTTGCCTTCGTCCCCCCCCCCCGTCAAGGGCGTCCACGTCAACCCCCCCCCATCAAGGGCGTCCACGTCAACACCCTTCCCCGTCAAGGGCGTCCACGTCAACCCCCCCCCCCGTCAAGGACGTCCACGTCAACGCCCCCCTACGTCAAGAGCGTCCACGTCAACCCCCCCTACGTCAAGAGCGTCCACGTCAACCCCCCCCCCGTCAAGGGCGTCCACGTCAACACCCCCCCCCCGTCAAGGGCGTCCACGTCAACCCCCTCCCCGTCAAGGGCGTCCACGACAACACACCCCCCGTCAAGGGCGTCCACGTCAACAACCCCCCCCGTCAAGGGCGTCCACGTCAACCCCCCCGTCAAGGGCGTCCACGACAACACCCCCCCCGTCAAGGGCGTCCACGTCAACCCCCCCCCCCCGTCAAGGGCGTCCACGTCAACCCCCCCCCCCCCCCCCCCCCCCAAGGGCGTCCACGACAACACCCCCCCCCCCCGTCAAGGGCGTCCACGTCAACCCCCCCCGTCAAGGGCGTCCACGTCAACCCCCCCCCCCGTCAAGGGCGTCCACGTCAACACCCCCCCCCCGTCAAGGGCGTCCACGTCAACACCCCCCCCCCCCCCCGTCAAGGACGTCCACGTCACCCCCCCCCCTTCAAGGACGTCCACGTCACCCCCCCCCCTCAAGGTCATCCACGTCAACCCCCTCCCCCCCCCCCCCCGTTAAGGTCGTCCTGGTATACTAATGTTATTAAACCAGAGAAGTTTTCCCTGCAGATAATAGAGTGTTCTGGAAGGCTGATTGGACGAGACATAATTGCTCTACCATCAGCTCCGTTTGCCGCTGCCATCTGCCGCTCTAACGACTCTATTTGCCTCGTATGGACCAATAGGAGCTGCCTCGTATGGACCAATAGGAGCTGCCTCGTGTGTACCAATAAGAGCTGCCTCGTATGGACCAATAGGAGCTGCCTCGTATGGACCAACAGAAGCTGCCTCGTATGGACCAACAGAAGCTGCCTCGTATGGACGAACAGGAGCTGCCTCGTATGGACCAACAGGAGCTGCCTCGTATGGACCAACAGAAGCTGCCTCGTATGGACGAACAGGAGCTGCCTCGTATGGACCAATAGGAGCTGCCTCGTATGAACCAATATGGTTTCTGCCGTTTTCTAAGACTTAACATTTGCATCTTTATCTCAGCGTCTTGGCCGCTGGTGGCTGTTACCATCTTGTGTCTTTGTTTGTCAGTCACTCCTCTTCCCCCTCCTCTTTCTCTTCCTGTTCCTCTTTCTCTTCCCCCTCCTCTTTCTCTTCCTGTTCCTCTTTCTCTTCCCCCTCCTCTTTCTCTTCCTGTTCCTCTTTCTCTTCCCCCTCTTTCTCTTCCTGTTCCTCTTTCTCTTCCCCCTCCTCTTTCTCTTCCTGTTCCTCTTTCTCTTCCTCCTCCTCCTCCTCACTTCATTTACACCTGAATTCCTTTCCATCCTGATTTTGCGTCGAAGTAATCTCTGGCAAACACATTTTACCTTGTTCTGGTCGCGGCGCCCAGCTGGGGTCACCCTCCCCCCAGGTGCTGGCTGGGGTCACCCTCCCCCCAGGTGCTGGCTGGGGTCACCCTCCCCCCAGGTGCTGGCTGGGGTCACCCTCCCCCCAGGTGCTGGCTGGGGTCACCCTCCCCCCAGGTGCTGGCTGGGGTCACCCTCCCCCCAGGTGCTGGCTGGGGTCCATACGAGGCAGCTCCTATTGGTCCATACGAGGCAGCTGCTATTGGTCACGCTACCCCAGCTGCTGGCTGGGGGTCACGCTACCCCAGCTACTGGCTGGAGGTCACGCTACCCCAGCTGCTGGCTGGGGGTCACGCTCCCCCCAGCTGCTGACTGGGGGTCACGCTCCCCCCAGCTGCTGACTGGGGGTCACCCTCCCCCCAGCTGCTGACTGGGGGTCACCCTCCCCCCAGCTGCTGACTGGGGGTCACCCTCCCCCCAGCTGCTGACTGGGGGTCACCCTCCCCCCAGCTGCTGGCTGGGGTCACGCTACCCCAGCTTCTGGCTGGGGTCACTGTCCCCCCCAGCTGCTGGCTGGGGTCACTGTCCCCCGCAGCTGCTGGCTGGGGTCACTGTCCCCCCCCAGCTGCTGGCTGGGGTCACTGTCCCCCCCAGCTGCTGGCTGGGGTCACTGTCCCCCCCAGCTGCTGGCTGGGGTCACTGTCCCCCCCCAGCTGCTGGCTGGGGTCACTGTCCCCCCCAGCTGCTGGCTGGGGTCACTGTCCCCCCCAGCTGCTGGCTGGGGTCACTGTCCCCCCCAGCTGCTGGCTGGGGTCACTGTCCCCCCCAGCTGCTGGCTGGGGTCACTGTCCCCCCCAGCTGCTGGCTGGGGTCACTGTCCCCCCCAGCTGCTGGCTGGGGTCACTGTCCCCCCCAGCTGCTGGCTGGGGTCACTGTCCCCCCAGCTGCTGGCTGGGGTCACTGTCCCCCCCAGCTGCTGGCTGGGGTCACTGTCCCCCCCAGCTGCTGGCTGGGGTCACTGTCCCCCCCAGCTGCTGGCTGGGGTCACTGTCCCCCCCAGCTGCTGGCTGGGGTCACTGTCCCCACCAGCTGCTGGCTGGGGTCACTGTCCCCCCCAGCTGCTGGCTGGGGTCACTGTCCCCCCCAGCTGCTGGCTGGGGTCACTGTCCCCCCCCAGCTGCTGGCTGGGGTCACTGTCCCCCCAGCTGCTGGCTGGGGTCACTGTCCCCCCCAGCTGCTGGCTGGGGTCACTGTCCCCCCCAGCTGCTGGCTGGGGTCACTGTCCCCCCCAGCTGCTGGCTGGGGTCACTGTCCCCCCCAGCTGCTGGCTGGGGTCACTGTCCCCCCCAGCTGCTGGCTGGGGTCACTGTCCCCCCCAGCTGCTGGCTGGGGTCACTGTCCCCCCCAGCTGCTGGCTGGGGTCACTGTCCCCCCCAGCTGCTGGCTGGGGTCACTGTCCCCCCCAGCTGCTGGCTGGGGTCACTGTCCCCCCCAGCTGCTGGCTGGGGTCACTGTCCCCCCCAGCTGCTGGCTGGGGTCACTGTCCCCCCAGCTGCTGGCTGGGGTCACTGTCCCCCCCAGCTGCTGGCTGGGGTCACTGTCCCCCCCAGCTGCTGGCTGGGGTCACAGTCCCCCCCAGCTGCTGGCTGGGGTCACAGTCCCCCCCAGCTGCTGGCTGGGGTCACTGTCCCCCCCAGCTGCTGGCTGGGGTCACTGTCCCCCCCAGCTGCTGGCTGGGGTCACTGTCCCCCCCAGCTGCTGGCTGGGGTCACTGTCCCCCCCAGCTGCTGGCTGGGGTCACTGTCCCCCCCAGCTGCTGGCTGGGGTCACTGTCCCCCCCAGCTGCTGGCTGGGGTCACTGTCCCCCCAGCTGCTGGCTGGGGTCACTGTCCCCCCAGCTGCTGGCTGGGGTCACTGTCCCCCCCAGCTGCTGGCTGGGGTCACTGTCCCCCCCAGCTGCTGGCTGGGGTCACTGTCCCCCCCAGCTGCTGGCTGGGGTCACTGTCCCCCCCAGCTGCTGGCTGGGGTCACTGTCCCCCCCAGCTGCTGGCTGGGGGTCACCCTCCCTCAGCTGGTGGCTGGGGGTCACCCTCCCCCAGCTGCTGGCTGGGGTCACCCTCCCCCAGGTGCTGGCTGGGGGTCACCCTCCCCAGCTGCTGGCTGGGGGTCACCCTCCCCCCAGGTGCTGGCTGGGAGTCACCCTCCCCCCAGCTGCTGGCTGGGGGGTCTCCCTCCCCCCAGCTGCTGGCTGGGGGGTCTCCCTCCCCCCAGCTGCTGGCTGGGGGGTCTCCCTCCCCCCAGCTGCTGGCTGGGGTCACCCACCCCAGCTACTCACCACAAAGGCAGTGATTAAGACGCCGTATAAGGACCGTTCTTCAGAGGCTAAGTGAACCCCTTGGTCTCCTCCATCACGCTGCCTCGCCCTCGGAGTGGCGTCGTCAGGGCCACAATCTCCATCCCCAACAATCACCATCATCACAATCTTCACCAGACACTCACTATAATCTTCACCATCACCATTATCTTCACTATCACCAGGACACCTGCCCCAGTCGCCACCTGCCTGCCTTGCTGCCCACCGGGCCAACAACTGCTGCCTTTGAAGGGTGGAGGGAAGGGCTGAAGCATCTAACCTGGTACACAATAATTAGACTACTAGCAAAGTGTTGACCAGACCACACACTAGAAGTTGAAGGGACGACGACGTTTCGGTCCGTCCTGAACCATTCTCAAGTCGATTGTGACTTGAGAATGTTACATCTAATAAAGAACAGTCTGGCGTTAACCATCGTCCTCAACAGAACACAATCTGCAAGCCACTCGATTATCCTCAACCAACCGCAGGATAGTGGGCTCCAGGGGATGAGAGAGTACCTAAGCGACAGGAAGCAGAGAGTTACTGTGAGGGGTGAGACCTCAGAAGGCTGCGATGTCACCAGCGGAGTCCTATAGGGCTCGGTACTCACACCCATCCTGTTGATGGTATGGGTAAAAGATCTCCCGGAGTGTGTCGACTCGTTCCTCTCAATGTTTGCTGATGATGCTAATATTATGAGGAGGATTAAGACAGCATGAGGTGACAAGATGTCCTGGACAGACTGAAGGAATGGTCCTATAAATGGCCATTAGAGTTTAACCCGAGCAAATGTAAGTAATGAAGATAGGTGTAGGGAGCAGGAAGACTGATACAAGGTACTATTTGGGAGATGAAATTCTTCAAGAATCAGAGAGAGATAGACCTGGGGGTTGATATCACGCCAGACCTGTCCCCTGAAGCTCATATCAAGAGGATAACATCAGCGGCATATGCCAGATTCGCCAACATATAACTGCCTTTGAGAAACTTGTGTAAGGAATCATTTAAAACCATATATACAACATATGTTAGACCAATCCTGGAGAATGCAGCCTCAGTGTGGGGTCCGTATCTACTCAAACACAAGACTAAATTCGAGAAGGTTTAAAGGTATGATGCCAGACTGGTACCCGAGCTGAGGGGTATGAACTACATGGAGACTACGGGAATTGAACCTCGCGTCGCAGGAATAAAGAAGAGTTAGGGGGAGACATGATGACCACATACAAGATTCTCAGAGGAATTGATCTAGTAGCTAAAGACTCTCCCATGACAACACCGTCAAGGATAGGCTGGGAACCCATCCACAACAATTCACTGCCGATGACCCAGGTTATCTTGAGGTTATCTTGAGATGATTTCGGGGCTTTAGTGTCCCCACGGCCCGGTCCTCGACCAGGCCTCCACCCCCAGGAAGCAGCCTGTGACAACTGACTAACACCCAGGAACCTATTTACTGCTAGGTAACAGAGGCAGCAGGGTGAAAGAAATTCTGCACATCGTTTCTCGCCGGCGCCCGGGATTAAACCCGGGACCACAGGATCACGCGTCCAGTGTTCTGTCCGCTCTGCCACCGGCTCCCTAACTACCCAGTAGTAATTGGGGAACTGGTAGTAAAACCGATTGACGGGTCGTGTGCCAGGGAGAACTGGTGGGTAAGGCTTACCATGAACTATGGGAAGGGGGCGATGACAACCTACTGACAGACGCCGTCTCCTGTCCCCACCTGTGTACAGAGAGAGACAGAGTGAGACAGACAAGAAGAGGGGCATAATAATGGAAGCTTCCCGGGTGTCTGGGACGTGATCCAGGCTGTGGCTCCTGGCACCCAAACTGTTCCTTCCTTATGATGTCTGTGTGTCACAAGCCCCCCCTCTCTTACCCTCCCTCTCCCCCCCCCCCTTACCCTCCCCCTCCCCCTCCTAACACCCCCCCCCCCCCATCACTGACGGCTGCACCATGTGCCGGCACCGTTGCCTGAGTCAGGCTTCACTAAGCCTGACAAAGCCGTCCGGTCTGCGAAGATTAGAATGAAGCTTATTTAATCCCAGGAGCGGTGAAAAGTCCCAGCAGTGTCCCAGTAGTGTGTCCCAGTAGTGTGTGTCCCAGTAGTGTGTGTCCCAGTAGTGTGTGTCCCAGTAGTGTGTGTCCCAGTAGTGTGTGTCCCAGTAGTGTGTCCCAGCAGTGTGTCCCAGTAGTGTGTCCCAGCAGTGTGTCCCAGTAGTGTGTCCCAGTAGTGTGTCCCAGCAGTGTGTCCCAGCAGTGTGTCCCAGCAGTGTGTCCCAGCAGTGTGTCCCAGCAGTGTGTCCCAGCAGTGTGACCCAGCAGTGTGTCCCAGTAGTGTGTCCCAGTAGTGTGTCCCAGCAGTGTGTCCCAGTAGTGTGTCCCAGTAGTGTGTCCCAGTAGTGTGTCCCAGCAGTGTGTCCCAGCTGTGTGTCCCAGCTGTGTGTCCCAGTAGTGTGTCCCAGCAGTGTGTCCCAGCAGTGTGTCCCAGCAGTGTGTCCCAGCAGTGTGTCCCAGCAGTGTGTCCCAGTAGTGTGTCCCAGCAGTGTGTCCCAGCGGTGTGTCCCAGCGGTGTGTCCCAGTAGTGTGTCCCAGCAGTGAGTCCCAGCAGTGTGTCCCAGCCCAGTGTGTCCCAGCAGTGTGTCCCAGTAGTGTGTCCCAGTAGTGTGTCCCAGTAGTGTGTCCCACCAGAGCGACGGCCTCGCTTCATGCGGGTCGGCGTTCAATCCCCCGACCGTCCAAGTGGTTAGCCACCATTCCTTTCCCCCCCCGTCCCATCCCAAATCCTTAACCTGACCTAACCTTCCCAGTGTTATATAGTCATAATGGCTTGGTGCTTTCCCCTCATATTTCTCTGCCCTTCTCTCCTCCCTCCCCCCCCCCCCCCACACCAAGATCTTCCTCCCCCCCCTCCCCCTCCCCCCCTCCTCCCTTCACCCAAATGTTTAAAATGAATCACATTAAAAGCTTTGACCTTTCTATCTGACTCAGAACTCTTCTGATTAGAACTTATTTCTCTAATTTACAATGATAACTACCAGAGAGTTTTTTTCTGAATATAAGAAACGCACATTAGCAAAATTAAACACAGCAGAACATTCTTATTTTTAATTTTTAATTTTAATTTGTTTATTTATTGATTGATTTTTACTAATCACAGCTTCTTCAGGTTAGAATTTTTTCGGACAAAGGTACACTTGAATTATTGAACTGGCTTCAATAAACAGTAAATCAGCATTTACGGCTGTTTGACTGAACGAGTCATTTGTGGCACCTTTGTAACGAGTCTGTGTTTTCAACTTCCAGTTATGTCGTCTCGTTCTACTGTTCCTTAGTTTGGAAATTGATTCGATATCTACTTTGTCAATTGTATCTTGAACGTCGTTATCATGTCTGTCACATTCCTTCTTCCGTCTAGTGGAGTGAGGTCCATTTCTTTCATAGTTCAGGACCGAGCTTTCTTGCATATTTCAATATCTTTTTCTAGTTTTTTGTGCTTGTTTAAGCAAGAGTTCCATGCCGGGTCTGCATACTCGATAACTGGTCTGACAAAGGAAGTATACAGCCCTCGTAAGATATCATAGTCCAAGTTTGTGAAGGATAACACGAGGTTTGTCAGTGTGGCGTCATACACTGTCCTCGTCCAGTGTGGCATACATTGTCCTCGTCCAGTGTGGCATACATTGTCCTCGTCCAGTGTGGTATACACTGTCCTCGTCCAGTGTGGTATACATTGTCCTCGTCCAGTGTGGTATACATTGTCCTCGTCCAGTGTGGCATAGACTGTCCTCGTCCAGTGTGGCATACATTGTCCTCGTCCAGTGGGGGCATACATTGTCCTCGTCCAGTGTGGCATACATTGTCCTCGTCCAGTGTGGCATAGACTGTCCTCGTCCAGTGTGGCATAGACTGTCCTCGTCCAGTGTGGCATACATTGTCCTCGTCCAGTGTGGCATACATTGTCCTCGTCCAGTGTGGCATAGACTGTCCTCGTCCAGTGTGGCATACACTGTCCTCGTCCAGTGTGGCATACACTGTCCTCGTCCAGTGTGGCATACACTGTCCTCGTCCAGTGTGGCATACACTGTCCTCGTCCAGTGTGGCATACACTGTCCTCGTCCAGTGTGGCATACACTGTCCTCGTCCAGTGTGGCATACACTGTCCTCGTCTAGTGTGGCATACATTGTCCTCGTCCAGTGTGGCATACACTGTCCTCGTCCAGTGTGGCATACACTGTCCTCGTCCAGTGTGGCATACACTGTCCTCGTCCAGTGTGGCATACACTGTCCTCGTCCAGTGTGGCATACATTGTCCTCGTCCAGTGTGGCATACACTGTCCTCGTCCAGTGTGGCATACATTGTCCTCGTCCAGTGTGGCATACACTGTCCTCGTCCAGTGTGGCATACACTGTCCTCGTCCAGTGTGGCATAGACTGTCCTCGTCCAGTGTGGCATAGACTGTCCTCGTCCAGTGTGGCATAGACTGTCCTCGTCCAGTGTGGCATAGACTGTCCTCGTCCAGTGTGGCATACACTGTCCTCGTCTAGTGTGGCATACATTGTCCTCGTCCAGTGTGGCATACATTGTCCTCGTCCAGTGTGGCATACACTGTCCTCGTCCAATGGGGCATACATTGTCCTCGTCCAGTGGAGCATACACTGTCCTCGTCCAGTGTGGCATACACTGTCCTCGTCTAGTGTGGTATAGACTGTCCTCGTCCAGTGTGGCATACACTGTCCTCGTCCAGTGTGGCATACACTGTCCTCGTCCAGTGTGGCATACACTGTCCTCGTCCAGTGTGGCATACATTGTCCTCGTCCAGTGTGGCATACATTGTCCTCGTCCAGTGTGGCATACATTGTCCTCGTCCAGTGTGGCATACATTGTCCTCGTCCAGTGGGGCATACACTGTCCACGTCCAGTGTGGTATACGATAACATAGAGGAGCGGCGGGCATCCGTGACCGCCACGACGACACAGTTCATGAACCTAAACATGATTAAGCTGTACATCACCATGTGCTTTCCTGAATATTACACGTGTGTTACCTGGTGATTACCTGGTGATTACCTGGTGATTACCTGGTGATGGCCGCGGAGATAACTACCCTCAG